TGGTGTACCCTGCCGAGATTTGGTCAACTACTATTAGGTATGTGGTATCCATAACCCATAACCCTGACATGGTTGGTGTAGTTCTGATACTTATGCTCGATTGGTTTGTTAACCAATCTTTGATTTCTTTTTATTCGTCCAGCATCCGTGACTAGGATTTTGTATTGATGTCTAATTTTCTTTTTCTTTGATGTAATTGCTCGTGTGTGGATGGAGGGCGCTGCTTGGTCGGATTGACGGAAAAAAAATTATCGTGACAATTGGAAATTTATAAACTTTTAACTAGTTATTAAGGTGGTGTTTGGATCCAGGGACTTAACTTTAGTCTCTGTATTTAGACACTAATTTAGAGTATTAAATATAGACTACCTACCAAACTAATTACATAAACGAAAGCTAATTTGCGAGACAAAATTTTTAAGCCTAATTAATCCATAATTAGAGAATGTTTACTGTAGCATCACATAGGTTAATCATGGATTAATTAGACTCAATAGATTCGTCTCGCGAATTAGTCCAAGATTATGGATGGGTTTTATTAATAGTCTACGTTTAATATTTATAATTAGTGTCCAAATATCTGATGTGATAGGGACTTAAAAAGTTTTAGTCCCATCTAAACAGGGTCTAAGATATAGAGTTTCTTCTCCTTTCCTCATCTGCATGGCCCAAAAGCCCGTAATTTGGCTGTACAGCGCAGCTTGATGGCAAACCAGCCCATGCATCAGGTTCCGTTTTCCTTTGGAATAAGCCCACTTGGACTACCTTCAGTGGTGGTCGAATCTAATCCGTATCCCTTAAGCACAGTACCGGATATCTGGACCCATCAACTATTAAAACCGGTGCAATTTGACTCGCTCAGCAGTTTTGGAGGGTGGTTTCGCTAACATGGCGCCTACGTAGCCGTGTTGACCTGGTCTTCGTTCCACATGACGTTGATGTGGCGCTTATGAGCATTAGAATTAAAAAATATATGAGGGACCCATTTGTCATCCTCTCTCCGCCCCACATGTCATCCTCTCTCCTCCCCTTCTTTCTCCTCCCTCTCTTTATCCCTTCTCAGTTTCTCTGCCCATTTCTCTTCCCCTTCGGACTCACACGGGGAGCGGGGGCTGGATCTGGCGGCGGTGGCGGCGGGCGGGGCCTTTCTGCGAGCCGTGGTCGGAGCTGCACGTCTACGGGTACAACAGCAACAGCGGCGGCTGGGTGGACCCGACGCGTGCAGCCGTGCAACCTCGAGCGGAGTGGCGGCGAGGTGGCCTGGACGCTTCACGGCACCGAGAGGCAGAGAAGCCGGTTGTTCTCCCCTCTCCTTCCTGCCACCACGGCGACAACGTTGAGATGACGGTCAGCCCAAATAGTGGCGCAGGCGGTAGAGAGAAGCTAGCGCCCAGACGACGACCTTCATCTGCTCCACCTAGACATCACCATCGTGTACACCGACTGGTATGGCGGCACGTCTTCCAGCTTAAGGGTGGACGTGGTCCAGGTATACCCACGGGCCTCGTTGGCCCGTCCCACGATTTTGGCATCAATGGGCAGATGGGTCGGTCCAAACAAAAACAATCAGCTCTACAGGGTACCCGGGTCGGCTTCATTAGGACACTGAACAGGCTGAGCGCGACACCCCTTCCTCTGGCGGTGGTGGCGCGAGCGCCCCTTCCTCTCACCGTCTCACGGCGGCGGCGAGGCGCCCATCAAGCGCGGAGGCGGCGAGGTTCAGCTTCCTCTCATGGTGGCGCCGCTCCATCGTGCCTGTCGGTCCCCCTTCCCCACTAGCACCAGCGTCACCGCTGGCCGAGCCGCGCCTCTTCACTACCATCCTGTCGTCCACCAACCTCCTTGACTCCCTACTTGCTACCCTCCTTTGCCACCTCTCCCTGCGCCTATCTCCGCCGCCTCCTTCATGGCGATGGCGACACGACCTCATCTAGCCTCGATGGCGGTCTCCATGTCAACAGTTCCTCCTGTGTCTGGTGATGGTATGTTCCAACTAGCCAACAACTCCTCTTTTATTGATTTCAATCCAAGAAAGCATGTTTTTCTTCTTAATTTCGATCTACTGTTTCCTTGCCAAGTATTGGCGGATTGCTAGCTAATAATTCTGTAATTCTTTTGTAACGTGGGAATAAGTTCATACAAATTGAATTTTCAGTTTCAGCAGAAATTTTTACAGTTCAGTTTTAGCAGAACACTTAGTTCAGTTTCATCAGAGAGTTTCACTTCAGTTTCAGAAGAAATTTTAAGTTCAGTTTCAGCAGAGATTTTATTTCAGTTGGCTGATTTCTTGACAAATGTGCAGACCAGAGCTCTGCACAATTTCTTCCTCCCACCCTTCTGTTCCTTTTTTATGCTCCTTCTGTGTTTTCTATATTCGGCCTGGAGTCCTCATGTTGAATACAAGTGTTATCTTGGTATGAGATTCTAAAGTTTTGTGTATTACATCTGTGATTTGTATGGATTGACAGAGTTGTGTGTATTCCATGTTTGAAATTGAATATTCGGCACTTGGTAGAATCTGATGATGCTTTGTTGTTCATCACGTGTTAATTACAAAAATCAATGATAGCACATACTGATGGGCCGACCCATTCTACCCAATGGATCCAATGGACAATGGGTCGACCCACTCGGTATTGTTATAAACCATTTGGGTAACATGGTCTAAGTATGGGTCGACCTGTCCCGGACCACACCCACCCATGTTCCAGCTTTGTGGATGCACGAGCTCATTTTTTTTCTTTCTTTCTACATATGCAGTGGCTGGCTGGTTGCTGCCGTGCCGACTGCTACTGTTGTGCACCAGTAGCATTTCGTTTGAGGCTTTTCAGCTGCCTGAGCATTAGAAAGAATCCACATACGCCCGGTGCTCGTTTGTTGGTTGCCTTACTTTACTGGACTATGGCGACGAGCGGAGTGGCGTCTAGCTGCAGGACCTTGAATCCTTGATGCAACAGCGGCGGCCTTAGCAGCTCGAGGCGCAGCTACATCGACAGCGCGGCTGTGGCAACTCATCCAGCTTCGACCCTGTCGGCTGCCTCCAGCTTCTGCCTCCGCAATCCGCTATTCGCTGCCAGGCTCGAATCCATCGGCAAGTCCGCGCGCCGCCGCATGCCCGCATTCACGGCCCTCCGGCCACGAACTGCCGAGGAGCCCCAATCCAGGATGCCATTGACGCCCTCTCCCAGGAAGGGCTGAGTACACGGAGGCGAATGACAAATGGGTCCCACGTAATTTTTTCATTATGATGCCACATAATCGCCAAATCAACGCCATGTGGAACGAAGACAAGGTCAACACTACCACGTAGACACCATGTCAGCGAAACCGCCCTTCAAAATCACCGAGGGAGGTAAATTGCACCGGTTTTATAGTTTAGGGGTCGAGATATCCGGTATTATGGTTCAGGGATACGAATAAGATTCGACTGCTAGTTAAGGGAGTCGATGTGAACTTATTCCTTTTCCTTTCCCATTTTTTTGGTGTGCTGTCCAGAATCCAGATTGATCAAGAGGCCGAACCAGGCGCGATGATAGCTGCACAAGAGACAAGCTAAATCGACAGTAAATTACTGCACCACGTGTTCCAATCAAATTATGGGGATTCCACCGGCTTTAGAAGATAAGACTAGAAAATCTACGTGCCAACTAATTTGCACCTTGGTTTTTCCATATACAATATTCTATTTACGTAAAAATCATACACTTATCCCTTAACTGGATCAAACGTTTAGGGATGGATCGATGTATGGTACTCCCTCCGTTTCAGGTTTTATAAAATGTTTTGACTTTGATTGATTTTAAACTGCTTTAAGTTTAATCAAGGTTATAAATAAATATAGTAATATTTACATTATCAAATTAGTTTAGTTAAATTAGTAATTAACTATGTTTTTATAATAAATTTATCTTGAGTCGAAAACATTACTATTTTTTCTAAACACCGGTCTAGATGATTCTTTAACAGTCCATCGAAATACTGAAACGGATTAACTAATTTAATGGACTTTTAAAACTAAATATTCAAGCTACATCCCTCACACCCACATGGACCAAACTCTGCAAACCGAATAAAAAGCCTTCTGACCCCTTGAGCTCTTCGGCTGATTTTGACTTGTTTTAAATTGTACCAAATATATCTTCGGTCATGTTCTCATATTTTCTGGTTGTTGTTCATGTGTGTGCCCCAGCTTCAACAACCTCTTCCTGAACTGATGTCTATTATACACTCACGTGCACCATCCTCTAAATCAGATGCAGCCTATTTTTGGACCTTTAGACTTCAGCACCCAAACTTTCTTCCTCGGTGAACTACCTCTTCCTTGTACAACAGATTGATTCTTGCTAGACGGTCATCCTTGCCATGTGACTGTTTTGCAAAATTCAATCGACTTACATTAATAGCCGATTGTATTTTCTGATAAGTATTACAATCACTAGTAGAATGATCAAACAAATTATGCCACTTACAAAACTTGGCATATTTATGAATATTTTGGTTGTTTATATAGTACTATTTTAACTTGGCAATTCTACTAGGGAATTATTTTTATAATTCTATATATTTAGCTCTTCTCTTATGTCAGTTATATTACCTAATAGATATAATTAAATATTACTAAATAATTCATATAAAGTCTAAAAGATGTAAACTCGTGTTTATGCTTCAACTCAATTATATTGAATGCACGTGTTGGAAACTTAGACTATAAAATCAATACTCCTCATCGAAAAATACATGTACGAGGACAAACTTGTTATTCATCCCTACTAGTTTATCCAATATTCCTCGTATTTGCCATTCATTCTTCAATTGCCAGTGGCCGATAAAAACTGCCAATCTATAACTGTATAGTTAGAACACCCACTAAAACATAATGTATACCATACTAACCAACTATATAGGCGCATGCAAGGATACCAATTACATCTAAAACTCAAGATATAAGTATGCTAAATCTCATTCCACATATCATTTTCACATCTCAACTCCATATACCATTTGTACAACATCATATAGATTCATGCATATATATTCCACAGTAAAGCGCGGGATGTTGTCCATTATATATAAAAAGTTACACCACACTTATTTATTTGGAATGATCACAATTAATCACAAACAACCCAAGCGAGCACACACAATTTTGTCTAGTTTCACAACAATAAATATACATGATATAGACTAGCCAACGGACGTCTGCTCATTGAAGAATGAGTAACAAGTTCAAGGATAGACCTCGATGATTGACCTGAAGCCCATGACTGGCATGATCTTGTAGCTACTAAATCCAGCTTCAACGAAAAGTTTCTTCCACTCCTGTTCATCTCGCTCAACGCCATTGACAAACATGATGAGCGCGTCAAACAAGATCTGCACATCTCTGTGCTTTTGGTCAGATGGGCCAACTCCGACCACTATATCCATGATTATCACCTTTCCACCGGCGTCTCTAGATGGGATGGCTTTTTTGCAGTTCCGAAGTATCTTCACACAGTCATTGTCACTCCAATCATGCATAATCCACTAAATATAGAGGAAACACATATATATGTATCAATAAAATCTGTATGTACATGTATACTTCTATTGATAGGACACTTTAAGAATATTCCAATTTTGATAAATGGTGAAATAGGGAATATTTTTAGCCATAAACATTAGTGGGACCAAACTGTAATGTCTTAAAATAAAATTTAGAGTCGATATCAATTACAAATTGCTGATTACTATTGGACTAGTCATCAACCTTAATTTGCACCCACAAGGGAAACATAGTTTTGTAAGATAAATTTAGAGAATTTCAGTGTAGGGATATATGGAATTAATTGCGGATATGTATTTTGAGAGTTTAGGGATCTAGATGACACACCCCTTCATATATGTGTCAATTAGTGATAAAATAATTTACAACAAATTAAATGACTGATTAACTCCGTAGATAGAAGAGATAGAAATATACATAGATAGCAACTACATAGAAAAAAAGTTGGCTAAAGTCCAGTTAAACATGTGGTTCGATATTTTTAGACAAAAAAACCAAAATATACTTGAGAGAATTTCGAGCCAGACCAGTCTATGTACCTTGAGGAAGACAGCATTGGCTGCTGGAATACTGTCAAACATGTCGCCGGCGATGAACTCGACACCGGTCCCCCTGGGTGCGTCGGCGACGACGTGGGCGAGGTCCATCACGCTACATTTCACCTCGGGGAACGCCTTCGCGATGGCCCGCGCCGCCGCGCCGTTCCCGCCGGCGACGTCGACCAGCGAGCTGATCCCCTGGAACACCTCGCCGTGCTCCCTGACCAGGATGTCCATCATGAAGGCGCTGTCCGACGCCATCCCGTCGTTGACGACCGTGTTGAACGCGGCGTCCTCGTTGGTCATCTCCCAGAAGCTCTGGCCGTGCGTGTGCTTGAACATGCACGGCTCAGGCAGCTCGAGCTGGAGCCAGTCGCTGATCCGGAAGAAGGGGGCGATGAAGCACGGGTGGAGCAGCATGGACATCATGTGTCGTTGGTTCCCGGCGCCGATGAGGAGGCGGGACACCGGCGTGAGCGTGTACATGGGCGCCTCGTCGGCTTCGGCTGCGGCATCGCCGGGCGCCGGCTTCTGGACGGCGAAGATGCCAGAGAGAGTGAGCACGCGCATGAGGCGGCGCAGGCACGGGATCTTGGAGGGGTGGAGCGTGACCCTGGTGGCTATCTGGGCCATGGTGGCGGCGCCGCCGTGGTGGTGGATGGCGTCGGCGATGCCGAGGTCCAAGGCGGCCTTGAGAGCCATGGACTTGATGACGGAGAAGGTGTTGCCGTAGAGCTCGCTCAGAGCATCGAGCGAGCTGGTGGCATGTTGCCCGTTGCTCTGAATGGGCGCCATGGCACTACCAATTAATTTTGTCTTCCTTTTAGTTTGGAATGGGTTTATGCACAAGATGCACTATAAATAGAGGTCTCAAATTACTGTATCAATGCAACTCGTTCTGGAAACATAGAACTACTATACTAGGTTATCAGAGAAAATGAGGAAAAATGTACTAGTTTCAGGGATTCCAAAATTCCAAAAACAACCAGCACAATATCCTATGCAATTATGTAACCAATTTTTAATTTAAATTATGACATTTGGCAAAAATGTAAATGCACATTAAAGTATTTGCTGTTGTTTCTATTATTTATTGTGTTGCTTCCATTTGTCAATATAGATGAAATGAAACAAACATGTCCGCTAGAAGGATCTCGCGGCATCATCTCGCTGGAGACTTTGCGTATTAGGATCATCCAAACGGACATCAAAACATTTTAGTAACAAAAAGTGACAATAAAGACTGTTTCGTCATATGTAACTTTACAAACATTTATAACTAAATTAGACATACTTTAATCCCCTGTTGACCTAATTTAAGTTATTAAAAATAAATATACTCTCTCTATTTTATATTATAAGTCGTTTTGACTTTTGCCTAGTCAATCTTTTTTAGTTTTTACTATGTTTAGAGAAAAATTTAGAAGGATCTCAAAAAATAAAATTATTTTCACTAAATGTAAAATTGAATATATTTTAATAATATTTTTTATTGAAAATGATATTATATTTTTTAATAAACTTGGCCCAATGTAAAAAAGTTTGACTAGGTAAAAATTAAAGCGACTGATAGTATGAAACGAGGGGTGTACTGACCATATTCTAACTCTTACAAGTCATCTAAGCCCATCTCCACACTACTTTCGAAGAAATCAGTTGAGACGACCGTGAATGAAAAGATAAGTTCTCTTTAAAATAAGTCAAATCAATACATTGAAACTGAACTAAGGCTGTGTTTGAGGGAGAGGGAATTGAGAAGATTGGGAAGATACGTAAAACTAGGTAAGCCATTATCGCATGATTAATTGAGTATTAACTATTTTAAACTTCAAAAATGGACTAATATGATTTTTTAAAGTAACTTTTCTATAGAAATTTTTTTTAAAAAACACACTGTTTAGTAGTTTAAAAAACGTGCATACGGAAAACGAGATACAATCTCCCCTTTCTCATGTGAACGAACGCAGCCTAAGTGAAGCACAAGTGGAAACCAACGGCCAGCATATGGCCTAGCAACGAACAACTTGGGTGTGTTCGTAGAACAAGTTACCATCCGGGACAGTGATCACGGAAAACGGAACAATCTATTAGCACGTGATTAATTAAGTATTTAATATTTTTTTTTAAAAATGAATTAATTTGATTTTTTCAAGCAACTTTCGTATAGAATTTTTTTTTAAAAAATACATTGTTTAGCAGTTTAAAAAGCGTGTACACGAAAATGAAAATAAAAGGAGATGGGCTGAGAAAAGAGGCATCACAACACAGCCATATATGCGAAGCTTGATGCGGACTCTTGGCTTAGCCAGTAGCCACATCCTAGTGAAGCATTATTAATGGCTCACAACCATCGATGTACAATGTGGCCAATGGGTGCTGACCAGCAACTATTGGCCAAAGGGTGGTGACCAGCAACCATTGAGCATGGAAAAAAGGACGACAAGATGGCAATAGTAATAGAATTATCTTTAATATTATAAACTCTAATTAAGAGGACGACATGATGGGAGAAATGAAATTTATATTACTAGGGTACTATAAGTATCTGTTTTTCTGTGGTTGATAATGGAAGCCATCAACAATGGCATTGTATTTGGCAGTGGTAGAATTAGAATGGTTCATATTGGGATTATTATGAGCAGAGGGATGAGTCCTCCACTACTGTTAAGGAGTTTGCGAGGTCATTTGGATTGCCAAAAATAAATACTATGCAAACACCAATATTTCTTTTGAATACACATAATATTTGGTTCTATGTTTCGTTAATATTGGGGAATGCAAATCATTATAAATAAATATATTATACGATTCATATTATGATAGAATTATATTCTCGGTATTAATTAATAATTCACATAACAAAATTAGACTAATTCAAACCACAATCATAAACTTTAGTCTATGGCACTTCAGCTGTTACAATTGCTCCGCACATAGGAATTATATTACATAGTTAAAAAATAAACAAGCAGATGAAAAAGTATAAATATAATTCCAAGATATGCTAGCTAACTAGCCACACAGCTATGTGGATAATTCATTTGCTTACATATTATATACATATGTGTGAGTGTATGTATGTATGTATCAAAGGTCCATAAAAAGGATTTTGAATTACACAATTAAAGTATACATAGTATGAATTGTTAGAAAAAATATGCAATCGTGTCTAACTTTTAGTCGTTCTGTGAACCAAGTGACATTGTCCCATGACCTGCAAGTCAAAAAATTACAAAATTGTGAGTTTGAGAACTCACAAATTGGTGTTTGCGGAACTTAAATCAAGTGAGAGCAGTGTGTCAGCTAATTCTTCTTCCATTAGACCTCCTTGCCGCAGCATCATGCCAGGCACCGCCTGGCTCTTAGCAAAAGTAAGGGAACATCGTCAACTAAACATGTCCTACTTGCAGTGATAGTAAGAACCCAAAGATCCGCATTATTCCTGGTGAAAACCAACTATGAAAAATATAAATGTGCATATAGCAGCATAGCCAAGCTTCTCCTCCTTCCACTGTATGTGTTCTGAAGGTTCAATCATGTATATATACTTCCTATTTGGAAACAATGAAAGTTCATAGCTACTTGTGCCTTCTTTGGTTGGTTTATAGTAATTTACTGTTTGCGCATCATTTAGTTAGGCTCATTATGTCACCTCCGGAAATTCAATAGCAATTTCATCACTAATTTGCACATACAATTAATCATCGTCCAACCATCAACTGAGGTATACACAAATCGATAATTCAATATAGATCCAAGATAATAAAAACATTAAATTCTTATATAAGAGGAACTTAGTCCTCACAAAAAAGAAAACAGCGACAGAAATACAATCTAGCGGTGGATTCAGCTCAACTCCCATGGGCAACTCAACTAGATTATAAGCCAAGCGTCTTCTCGTTCATAATCATTCTTCAACTGAGGTTGATAATTATTGCAAGAAATGTACATGCAATACTTCCACAAGCCACATAACAATTATGCAAGTGTAATAGTATGACAAAAGGACATCATATGGGGGTTCATTCGCAAAAGCAGTATTTAGCAAATATTTGACAATACTAAAATAGTTGAGTAATTAAACAATATTATATCACATTGCACATCACAACAATGTTGCACAGTTCCAACCATTTTGAACAACCAAGCCCGGTTGCACAGATCTAACCCCACTCAAAGAGCTAATAAATTATTATTACCAATTTATTTCTCATTAATGAGTTATTGTGAGAGCAATCACGAAAAATATTGTTAGGCTCTCCCATAACCACTGCCATGGCTATTTGATCGTTTTTTTTAACTCTGACCAGAGGTGTACAAATTTACCCACAATACATGATTCCACACATCTTTTCATGTCCTGAAATACCCCCATAGTACTACAAAGGAAGAAATTGTGACAAGACTCTTTGCATAACACGTCAAACAAAATATATACCCACTAATTATCTGTCTCCGGTAGGGATAGCCAGATACCTAGACAGGGAGACTACTTAGCACCTAAACAACTGTGAACATATTATCTACCGCTTGTTGACTTATTATCTGTCAAGCTCAAACACACACCGTGACACCTTCCGTTGGGACATGTCATACTACAGATCCAACTATTAACCATGTTGGCTTATGGTTAGTACGATTAATACTTCATAACAGTAGCTCACGAATCGATCTTTAATTGTTATGAGCACGATCAACATAACCATGTGCTCACAACTCACCATTAGTTAAGTTTTAGTTGAAATTATGAACAACCACAACCGTCATCGTGATCTTTCATTAATAACCATAATTAATCATGAATGAATCATTGTGGCCATGGTCTTGAAAATGGCGAATGTGAGAGCATCTGGCTAGCGAGCTTGTGGCATGAGATGCACATTGCTCTCAGTGAGCACCATGGCACTACTGGTTTCGTTTTCCTTTTCGTTTCAAATGAGTTGATGCACGACGTACACTATAAATAAAGGACAAAGGGCTCAAACTATTATCACCACAGTTGGTTCTGGAAATATGGAAAAAAAAGTATTTTTTTTATTCTTGGGCACCCCGGGAGTGCACATGTTAAATCGTGTACGGATTGATTGATACAGTTTGGTCTATTTATTGAAATAGAAGCTAGATGATATGTCAAATCAATTCTGCCTTTAGCATTTATAAATACCGCTAATTGCCTCTATATTACTAGTAGCCACCAAGTCGCATTGCGCGACTCTAATTAAGTGCCTACATGTCTTCATTTATATTTATATAATGTGTCGTTGTAGTTGCGCCACTGTCTATTTGTGCTGAATTTCTCATGAATTCATGGGCATGTTTCATGAGTACCATGGTGAATGCCAGATGCCGTTATGTTTTTCAGTACCGAGCATATAAAATTTATAAAATTGACATCATTGACAGCATTTTATATATTTTCTTAAAGCTACATATAAAAAAGGCTTGAATGGTGGCTTACTATAAATTCCGAGTGGCAAGAGGCAACATATGAAATTGCATATAGACTTGATGTCCCATTATTATATTTGTAGGTGTGTGTGTATAATATAATTTTGAAGACCGAATAGTAACAGTAGTACTTGTTAGATTGATCTCCCTCCCGTTGAGCCGTTGGGCTCAAGGGGGACTTGACCCGCGCCCTGATCAGGGGCGCCCAGCCCAATGGCTGGTGGGCCCCTATCACCCTGCGCCATATAAAGAGGGGTGGAGGCCGGGGCGGCGCACGACATCAGGTTCGCTACCGCCGCCAACTCCACCCACAAACCCTGATCCGATCGAGAGGGGGCGCAACCAGTGACGGGAAAACGCCACCGCCGCGCCACGCCTCATCGCCACCTACGACTCCCACTGCTACGACCACCGTCGTCGTCGAGCACACTGTCGCCGCCGTCCTCGTCAAGCTGAGCGACGGCAACGACGATGGCCGGCACTTCCTCCTCATCCAACGTGTCAACCGGTCACATCCCTAAACCCTTTTCCCTTAATCTCTATTGTTGTTCAATCATTCAACCAAATAGAACCAACCTGACTAGATCTAAACCTAGGTGATCCTAGAGAGAATACTAACAATGGTATCAGAGCTACCCTAGCGCATAGATCGGTTTGGGGAGAGAAATCCACAAAGAAAAAGGAAAGAAAAAGCAATGATCCGCTCGGATCAAAAGATCGAAACCTTAACCCTTGAACCTTACCTTGTCGCCGGCCGAACGTTGACGCCGGCAAAGGGGTGAAAGGGGGAGGGCACAGGGCACCGCCAAGGAGCCTCTCGATGGCCGTGTGCGCACCCGCAGGTGCACGCGCGCGCCGGCGAGGTGGCCCGTGGCGGCGCATCGCCGCTCTCTCTCTCTCCTTCACTTCACAGGTGGAGGATTAGAGACGGTGGGAGGAGAACAGAAAAGTGGGCGCGCCACAGCGCGAGGTCACCGGCCATGGCGCGCCGGCCATGATGCGGCGGCGCGAGGCGCAGCGGCAGTGCGACGGCGCGGCGATGCATGGGCCGTCAACGCAGCCACGCGCGCGAAAGATAGAGAGAGAGAGTGGAGAAGCTAGGGTTTCGGCTAGCTGGCGGCTGGGGTCGGGTTTTTGTCCCTCCGATCTCGGCGCCCGGCTGTCTGATCGAAACCCTAGTGATTGGACGGCCGGCGGCGGCTGGACCAAAATCGGCCCATGTGGGGAGCGCATGGCGGGCGGCTTTCCCGGCTCAGGCCCAGGTTGCGGCCAAGGGAGGGGTGAGGGAGCGCCCGCGCGCATGCAAGGCGGCAGTGGGCCGACCGGCAAAGGCTGAAAGAGTCTATTTTAGGTCCCTCGGGGCCGAAGCAAAAGAAAAGAAGTCCATTTTTTGTCCTTGTTTCAGAAGCATTTGCAATTATAGTTATTAAAATGTGTTTATTTCTAAGCAAGTTGAACCCACGTGAAAATTGTTTAGAGAATAGATAAATGTGAGAAATGCTTCTGAACATGTATTTTGTGTATTTTCATGCAAATTTCAATGGAATTTTGTATCGATTTTGCATGTTTTATATCTGTTTAAAATTTGATCCAAAGTGGTAGTTTTTTTACAGAGAGTGAATAACAGAATTTTGTTACTGTTCATATGAATTTTATATAGATCTTCCGCTGCAAATAGATAAAATTGTTAAAAGTTGTGTTTTTAAAATAAATTTTGAACCAACGGGAGAATTTAATTTTAGGAACATTAATTTTGTGCTATGATGTTGTAATTTTCTGACCAACGTTGATAATTGCAATGTTATAGTTATGGCTCTGTGTTATATCTATTTTTACCCAACGGTGATGTAGGTCTAATGCATAATATTTTAATGTTAATTTTGTTCTCACAGCTACTCCTTGATTGGTTGCATTAAAGATATTCCGACCTGAAAGGAGATAACTACGAAGAATGGAAAAGAGAACTCGACCTTGCTTTTATCTTGGGAGAGGTGGACTGGGTGTTGACTACCCCATGTCATATAGAACCTGCTGAACTTGACAGAGGTGAAAAAGAGTCAGATGCTGAATGGCAAAAGAGAGAGAGGGACCATGTTCCCCTCATCTTGTCGTATGACATTGAGCATGCGAAATGGTCCTTAGCCAACAAGAACTGCTTGGCTGAGGTAAAGAACACGATTGAGCCAACCATATTGGGCTCAATCCCAGAGTGTGACACCGTCTCTGAGTACCTCAAAAGTATAAAGAGCTAGCTTACTAGTTCTTCAAAGACTTATGCGACATAGCTGATAAAGCAGCTTGTGATAGAGAGGTACCATGGAGGTGGTGTAAGAGACGACATCCTTAGGATGAGCAACATAGCTTCCAAGTTGAAGCCAATGGATTTGGGCATCTCAGATGACTTTCTGGTCCATCTGGTTATGACCTCATTGCCAAAGCACTTTGACAACTTTATTGTCAACTATGAAATAAGTCCAAATAAATGGAATTTTTAAAGAGCTCATCTCTAATTGTGTGCAAGAGGAGAAAAGAATCAAAGAGACCAATGGTGGCTCCATTAACCTTGTTAAAGATAACAAGGATAAGAGCCATAGGTCACCCTCCTAAAAAGCAAAACAGCCTCAGCATCTGCCTCAGCAACAATAGTTCACAGTTGAGACAGGATCAGTGTCTCCACTGCAAGAAGACAAGACATTCCAAGAAAGATCGTCCTGACTTCCTGATAGTGATCATGGCAAAGAAATGTGAGAACATTATTACATTTGTAAATGAATCTCATTATGATTGGTTATTCTAGATCCACATAGTGGATTTATTCTGGAGCAACTATTCATGCATGTAATTGTTTAAAGGCATTCCGTTCGACGAGGACTACGCAAAGAAGCGAAAGATCCATTAGAGTTGCCAATGAAGCAAAAGTTGAAGCTGTTGGAGATCTTCACCTAGAGCTCGTGAATGGCTTCACACTTTTACTTCGAGATGTTTTTTATGTCCCATCTTTGCAAAGAAACTTAATAAGTGTATCCAAATTGGATTTTGATGGATATGATTGCCATTTTGGAAATGGCAAATTTGAACTATGGTATAATAATGCATGTATTGGTCTTGCTGTGTTGAGTTCCTCCGCGAGGGGTTTTCTCGTTCTCGGTGAACCCCTGTGGAGATAGATGGCCTGGCGAAGTCGATGGCGCCGCTGACGGAGAAGGTCTTCCAGTCGATGGATTGGCGTTGGCCTTCCTGGTAGTTCCCATGTCCTGTGTCAAATGTCTTAGGAAAAAAGTGTAATATAGTTATGGATTTTGATGGGATTGTAAGAAATACTTGTGGAATATCTAACTAAGCTTTCTTACTCTGGATGTAGTGTGTATGAGTGTCTTCTCACTTCGCGACTTTGATCAGTCGTTTGAGTTATACACTCTCCCTAGCCCCCAGCCTTGTCATCGGAGAATTCTTCTCGGAAGATAAGGCTCTTGGACCTTTGACCTGCCTTGGTTGAACAAGCACTGATCCTAGCCCCCAGCCGTGAAGTTGGAAAGTTTATTTCCGATTACACGGCTTGGTTAATACACACGGCGAGAACTCTTACACGACCAGATCTTACATGGTCTTTCGTCTCTACAGGATCCGACAAGACCTTATCGGCTCTGGGCGTCCCCAGCCGAAGTTCCCTTAGGTTCCTCGGAGGCCTTGTCAAGACGGCGTAAAGGGACATGAGGATAGGTTTCAACGCTAGGTGTCATCTGGGTAAGGGATCATCGGGAAGGAACACTTTGATTGTAGTCTATACCTGAAAAATAGGCTTTATTGAGGCTGTAAGATGTCTTACAAGTATGGATACTATTGACTTATACATAGAATTTACGTAATTGATCAATGTTCCAGGAATTTGCCAACTCGCGACCATCGCTGTCTGCGATTTTGAATGCGCCTGGCCGCAGAACTTGTGTGATCGTGTACGGTCCTTCCCATTTGGGTGAGAGCTTGTTGCGCCCTGCTTGGCTTTGAACCCGTCGGAGGACGTAGTCGCCGATCGAAAGTGTGCGTGCTCGGATGCGCTTCTCGTGGTAACGGCAAAGGGCTTGTTGGTAGCTGGCTGCTCAAACGGCAACTCGTTCGCAATGTTCCTTGAATAGATTTACATCGTCGTATCGCTGCTCCTCCTGATCCTCATCGAAGTACTTCTGTACTCATGTACTTTGATGTCGTAGCTCGGTGGGGAGCATGGCCTCTGAGCCGTACACGAGGAAGAAGAATGTCTCCTTGTTGGAAGTTGTCGGTGTGGTACGCACGGCCCATAGTACTGATGGAAGTTCTTCGACCCACTTCTTGTCGTGTGACATGAGCCTGTCGTAGACGCGGGTCTTGATTCCTTGTAGTACTATGCCGTTTGCCCTCTAGACTTGTCCATTGCTTTGAGGGTGAGAAACCGAGGCGAAGCAGATCTTGACTCCCAGCCTGATGCAGTAATCCTGGAAATCGGCACTGATGAACTGGGAGCCATTGTCTGTTATGATACGGTGGGGCAATCCGAACCTGCAGAATATCCCTCTGATGAATTTGATGGCGTTGTCGGCCTTGATTTCCCCCGTGGGTATCGCTTCAATCCACTTGGTGAATTTGTCGATCGCCACGAATAGGAACCTGTAGCCGCCCTGTCCTCGTGGGAATGGCCCGAGTATATCTAGCCCCCAGCACGAAAACGGCCAAGTGAGAGGGATAGTCTGGAGTGCTTGCGCTGGCAACTTTGTGTGTTTACTGTGGAATTGACAGGCTTCACACCGCTGAACCATGTCGCAGGCGTCTTTGAGGGCGGTTGGACAGAAAAACTCTTGTTGGAAAGCTTTTCCGACTAATGTCCGACCGGCGGCATGTTACCCACAGATCCCTTCATCTATGTCGAGGAGGAGGTGTCTGCCGTCGTCGGACGAGACGCATTTTAGGAGTACCCCATTCGTTGCCTTCTTGTATAGATCGTTGCCGATCATACAATAGACTTTTGATTTATGGGATATTTTCTCGGCTTCTGCGTCATCCTCGGGCAGCTCTTTGCTGCATATGAATTTAATGAGTGGGGTGCGCCAGTCGTCTGTGGTATCGATATCAGCAACGGCGCCCTCTGCCTCTGTAGCCCCCGAGCTGATGTTGGGGGCGTCCGGGCTATCTTCGCCGGTTGCCTTTTTAACTGATGGCCTTGTTAGGACGTCCAGAAAGGTGCCAGGTTCAAGTGGTTCTCGTCTGGACGCACGTCGTGCTAGATCATCCGGTTTATTGTTGTCTTTGCGGTATACATGTCGGACCTCGATCCCATCGAACCTTTTTTCTAGCTTCCTGACTTCTGCGAGATACTTGGATAACTCGGGCTAGAGCACTTGTAATCTTTATGCACCTGGTTCGCAACTAGTTTGGAATCCCCTTTCACGATCAGTCGCCTTACTCCGAGTGCAGCTACAACTCTTATCCCGGCGAGTAGTCCTTCGTGTTCGGCTGTGTTATTGGTTGCCCTCAAGTTGAGGTGAATTGCATGCTTGAATTGAGTGCAATAAATGCCTCTTCGGCCTCCTGTGTCCATACAAATTTGTCTTGCTTTTTCAGCAGAGCGAAGAAAGGTTGTCCTCGCTCTCCCATCCTAGCGACGAACCTGCTTAGTGCTGCCATGCATCCGGTTAGCTTCTGTACTTCTTTGAGTCTTGTAGGCGACTCCATGTCCTCGATTGCTTTGATCTTCTCGGGATTTGCTTCTATTCCTTTGCTAGAGACGAGGAAGCCGAGTAGCTTGCCCGATGGTACTCCGAACGTGCACTTCTCTGGATTGACCATGAGGCGATATCGTCGGAGGTTGTCGAACGTTTCCCGCAGATCGTCAATTAATGAGTCGCTTGTCTTGGTCTTGACAACAATGTCATCGACGTATGCCTCAACATTGTTTCCGAGCTGGTCGCTAAGTGCACCTTGGACCGTGTGCTGGAAAGTGTTTCCTGCGGTTATTAGTCCGAACGGCATCTTAATGTAGCAGATTACCCCGAACGGCGTGATGAATGTTGTCTTCTCCTCGTCCTCTTTCGCCATGCTGATTTGGTGGTAATCGGAGTAAGCGTCGAGAAAGCTCAACAACTCGCAACCGGCTGTT